ATTCTCTTATGAAGGATAGTATGTTAGATCTATGATTTCCAAGCCAAAAAGTCAGTTGAAGCTGCATTGTGGATTTGTTATTATGATGTCGGATGGGATTGATGAGATTTTAGTTTTTAATCATCGTCTTTTTAAAACAACTGTTGGTTTCTGCTTTCGAGGCAGGAAACCTGGAAACTCTTGGCTTTTAAGCCTTTGTCATATTCAAATCTTTGTTTATCATCTTGTTAATGATAGCGTGAGGTATGCTCAGCTTTATCGCAATATCTTTTTTCGGTAAGAAGGTCCTGTTTTCGTAACCATAGCTTTCACTCTGCAGATCGAATGGTGGTATGCTGCTAAGTATAGATTTTTGATGGTATGTTCCTGAATAAAGATTCTTGATGATGTGTTTCTGAGTAAAGATTTTTGATGGTGTGTTCCTGAGTAAAGATTCTTGATGGTATGTTCCTGAGTAAAGATTTTTGATGGTATGTTCCTGAGTAAAGATTCTTGATGGTATGTTCCTGAGTAAAGATTCTTGATGGTATGTTCCTGAGTAAAGATTTTTGATGGTATGTTCCTGAGTAAAGATTCTTGATGATGTGTTCCTGAGTAAAGATTTTCGCTTTTGTGGAGACCATTGAAGGCTACAGTCTTCGAAATGTTATGCTCTTTGGCTCTTCATCCTTTGCCAATCTTGTTTTAGGAATATTTCGTTTCAAAAGATGCTATAACATCTTCCTTCAGCTTCAGCCGCTATTTGACTTTTGGAGTAATTTTACCAGGTTATTCAGCGCTGTTTGATGGCTGACAGGTGCTTGTCTATCACGCGACCGTAATTAAAGAGCCATTCTAATATTCTCAAGGAAATGGTGGCTAATTTGCATACGTATATACGAATAATAATAGTGGCTCACACTGAAATCCTTAAAAATTAAAAATCTGTTAGGAAAACTGTATATACAGATCGCAGCATTTTATCTCGTTGCAATTGAAACCTCTGAGGTTTTCTTCTTTTGTGGCTAGTTTGTTTGTTTCGAAGGGGTTCGCGCAAAGCTACTCAAAGGCTATCTGTGCTAGCGAACCCTAATTTTGAACCGATAGACTAGAGCGAAGACAGCTAGTCAATAGCACCTTCCGTCAACTTCCTGGCTGCTCATGTCTAACCGAATAGCAGGATTTGAATGGCAACTACGGCCTCAGAATGCCGAATACGATTTTTTTTTGCGGTAAACGGGACATAAACAATGGACCCGCAGATCCATAGTCCAGCACACTAACCAGTGAGCCACGCTCGGGCCGTTTTGTTTATTGCCATGAATGACGTTTGTATATTTGTGATAGCTTTAAGAGTAAGTATAAAATTGACAAATATGATTGTTTGTTTGCTTCGAGTTAAGCACAAAACTACACAAAAGGCCATCTGTGCTCTGCCCACCACGGGTATCGAAACCCGGTTTCTAGCGTTGTAAATCCGCAGAAATACCGCTGTGCCATTGGGGGGCGACAAATATGAAAAATCAATGTTATACAGCTCTCAGGTTAAAAATAAAATCGGAAAATTATTTATATTAAACTTCAATATGCGAAGCATTATAAGTTGATATCAAAAACTCGATAGTCGGGATGTAGTAACCCCTCTCCCCCACTCTGCATGGGGATTTTTGTCGTGTGAAAGAGAGCTTAACAGCTATGCGAGTAAGAGTATAAGTAAAAGGGAGAAATTCCGCGAATTCCAAGTATAAATATCAGTTAAGATAAATGAAAGAAACTGAACCTTTTCTAGCACGTGCATCTCTTAAGAGGTGTTTTACGTCCTGTATTTGAAAACCTTTTGGGTAAAATAATGGCGTCAAGGACATCAACTTCTTAAGCTATAATATAAACTTGGGGATGTCTTTATCGCAAATGGTGGTGTGCTAAAACCTTTATTATCATTTTCACAATTTTATTGGCGTAGAGCGATAAAAGAGAGTGGTTTTATACACATAGGCGGCGCTTCGGAATATAGAGAGAACTAAAATGTTGGCAAGTTAAGAACTGGCGACTTTGTATATTTTTGAAATTACTTAAAGACAGTTTGAAATGCTATGAACTAAACTTAGAGAGTTATCTTGCATAACTATTTCTATAAAGTCACCCTTAGAGAGTCATCCTTCATAGCTCTTACTAAAAATTACCCTTAGAGAGTAATCATTCACAAATGTTACTAGAAAGCTACTCCTAGAGAGTCATCCTTCATAACACTTACTAGAAAGTCACCCTTAGAGAGTAATCATTCACAAATGTTACTAGAAATCTACTCCTAGAGAGTCATCCTTCATAACACTTACTAGAAAGTTTGTTATGGCTTTAGTTTCAGTACAACACGTGTTAGAGTAGAATAATGCTTGGTGTATTTTACTTTAAAAAGTTCAACACTACCTTGTTCACGGAACAAATTCGTTTGTTTGTTTGTAATTAAGCACAAAGCTACACAATGGGCTATCTGTGCTCTGCCCACCACGGGTATCGAAACCCGGAGTCTAGCGTTGTAAGTCGGTAGACATACCGCTGTTCCAATGGGGGGCACACGGAACAAGTAAACCTGGTAATCTTAACTGGCATCCTGCATTTTAACTTGTTTACTAAAAACCCTGGGATGTTCTTATATATATATAAGTTTATATACTTGCTTGTTTGTTTTAGAGCAAAACCACTTCAGGCTAGCCCGGCATGGCCAGGTGGATAAGGCGCTCGACTCACAATCTGAGGGTCGCGGGTTCGAATCCGCATTCCACCAAACATGCTCGCCCTTTCAGCCGTGGGGGCGTTATAATGTGACGGTCAATCCCACTATTCGTTGGTAAAAGAGTAGCCCAAGAGTTGGCGGTCTGCGCTAGCCGTCCCTAATTTAGCAATGTAAGACTAGAGGGAAGGCAGCTAGTCATCACCACCCGCGCAAAGCTACACGAGGGCTATGAAATTCAAAAACAAACAAACAAACAATTATTCCCTAGAAGCACACAAACAAATTATATAACAACAATTATGCCCTGGAAGCATACAAACAACGTTATATTCCAATACTTATTACCTGGAAGCGTGCAAACAAATTATATTCCAATACTTATTTCCTGGAAGCATACAAACAATGTTATCTTCCCATACTTATTTCCTGGAAGTGTGCAAACAAATTATATTCCATTACTTATTTCCTGGAAGTTGTACAATCAACATTGTATTCTAATACTTGTGTCCTAGAAGCGTACAGACAACATTATATTCCAATGCTTGATTCCTGGAGCGTACAAACAACTCAATATTCCAGTGCTTATTTTCTGGAAGCATACAACGAATGTAATATTTCAGTACTTATTTTTGGACTGCTTTGAGGCTTTCAGTAACATTTTGTAGAATTATCGGATTTTGTTTATAAAATCTGTGAACAAATATCGAGTATATATTTTACATTCTACGTCTTCTCGGGCATTTTGTATCAACACACAATATGCGATATTAGAAAAATCTAATTAAATACATATGTTCACATATTGGACTAAATAAAACAACATACTACAAGTCATTCAGAAAACAACACACTCACAGGCCATTCGATTTCTATAATATAACACGCCGTGAGCGCGCAACGTCAGCATAACATGGCAAAAGAACAGCGATTTTAATCATTGCCCTCTCCTCCCACTAGGTGTGCTGTTTAAACTAATAGAATGGCAGTCTATATCAATTCCTTTCAAGTTCACTGGTCATCGCTGACGTGCGCCATTATAAAAAAAAAATCACTCACGGGAGAAATGCATCAAGGAAATGTTCACAAGACTTGTTATGAAAATTATGTCAACACCTTACACGAATATTAAAATAAAAATGGAAGAAGAAATTGTGGATCTTTTGAAGACAACCTTGTACGATAAACAGATTTTCTAAAGTAAGATTTAAACATTTCATTTTTTATCTTTAGACCTTTATTTTCCCTAATTATCTCATACGATGATGACAGAAATTAAACATAATCTGTGCTGTGTTGCCAGAGGTATAGAGCCCCGATTCGTAGCGTTATAAACCTCCAGACTTACCACTGAGCTAGGGGGGAGGCAAAAATAAAACATAAGAATAACACTTCATATTAGATTTTTTTATCTATATTTTTACTCCAGGTATGTGGATAATAATGAGTAGGATATAAAATCAAGTCGATCATATCAAGATCAATCCCCTCAATTAAGACTAAGCAACCGTATTTCTAGTGACAAATAATTATTCTTTATTTGAGTAAGTTCAACAGAATTTAAGTACCACAACTTTGACCAAGTATAGCTTAACTTTAAAGGTACTATCACTGTTTTTGTGTTAGCAAATAATTGTGCTGGATTGTATTTTGGAATAATTAATCAACTATCACATTCTTCAAACATTCAGGTAAAACTTTATGCAACTTATTTAAAGAGTTAATAATTCTTTTAAAAACAGTATATTCATTTTGCTCACACGAACTGCAGAATATTTTAATGAACTTTGAGCACTATGCTCTACTAGAAACTACAAAGAAAAAACATTGGACTGTAAATTTCTGGACGGTTATTTAACAGTCTTTTCGCATGTGTTTGTGTGCTAATTTTCTTTGAACCTTGTTCTTGTTTCTTTCAAAGGTTGGCTCCACCAGTTGTCAAGTAAACTAGGCAATGACCTTATAAATCACACAGATACAACCGCTGCCTATATTACTGCCCTCTATTTCACTACAAGCAGTCTCACCAGTGTAGGATTTGGGAACGTGTCTGCCAATACTAATAACGAGAAAGTGTTTTCAATACTCACCATGCTTATTGGCGGTAAGTAGGAGAATCTGGCATCTCCAAATATATATATCCTGGTTTCCTTAAGCCCCGTGACCTTGACCTAACTGAGAGCAATGACAGTGAATAGATGTAATAGACCATTAAATTTAAGTAATTTCTTCGAGATTATGACGATAAGTAAGTCGATCCCATTGAATCAAGATGAAATTTAGTAGCCTGCTTCCACTAAAAACATACATGTATTGAACCTCATTCCATATCATGATAAAAACAATAGAAGAAAGTGTCCTGACTCTACTAAGAACGGTGGATTTCAGGAATCTGATATAAGTGAGAATAGTAGAAGAAGATATCCTGATCCTATTGAGGATAATGAATGTTAGGAACTTGTTATCAGTGAGAACAATAGAACAAAGTATCGTGATCTTACTGAAGAAGATATATGTTGGATATATATCCGGACCCTACAGAGATAAATAAAGGTTGACACAAGTTAGAACATTAGAATAAAGTGTCCTGATCCTACTGAGAACAATGTAACACATCCTGATCTGACTCAGAATCATTGGTATTATTAGACTACTATCACTAAGAACATTACAGTTGAGTAACTTGATCTATCTAATTATAATGCAGATGAGTATCTTGATATAACTGAAAAAAGAAGATAAACAATCTGATTCAAATGATAGTAATAGAAGTTGCTAGCCTGAACCATTGAAAAATAATGGAGTTTAATGATTTGATCGCACTCAGACTAGCAGAGGCAAGTTACCTCTGATTACTGAAAACAATGAAAGTAAGCAGTACCATCGTATTAATAAAAATGAGTGTCAAGGAAGCCTGATTGGATGTTTTCAAAACAATAGAAGTGAGATGCCTGATCTCAATGGCTAATATTGGATGACGCAATACAAAATACATAGAGGTGAATTGATTTAAAACAGTTAAAGCAAAGAAGAAGATTCTTTAGTCTAAATCATTGAACTTAAAAACAAAGAAACTAGTTTTTCTTAAAATGGTGAAAGTAACAAACCAATAACGATTGTTAAATTTTATTTCTACACATATATATATTTTCCTGATCTAAGATATTCCATATTTTCATCTTACTGCTAAAATATAAGTGATTCGTTCATACGTTTACCTTGTTCTTATGTGTACAGAATGTTTATTTACTATATTTCCTTTCAGTAAACATTCAACAGAACAGACAGATTTCATGACTGATAATAAAAATGTAGTGAAATCTATACAGAATATATGATGAAACACACTTAAGTAAATAGTTTAACATGTTTAACTACTTAAAATGTATAATTATATGAGCCTGAAATCAAATATTTTTTTCAACAACCGAGGTAGGTGCTAAGGTATTTATTTCGTTGTTTTCATCCCTAAGAGAAATTATGAAGCTTCGTTGCAATTAATGATAGTGTTCATGTTATCTGTTTACGGAGGATTATGAACTGTTTACGCTTAACAGAGTCACGTTAAAATTATCACTATATAAGTAAACACAGATGTAATTCATTAACAACGTCTTTCAAGTATACATTTTTCTGTCTAAGCCTTGTTTCATGCAAGAACAATGAAAGGTTGGTTGTAACTATACTGACATTACTGTTCCATCTTTTGTTGTTGTATTTTAGGATATATATATGTTAGGTACTTTTATCTTAACCACATTTATCAACTTTATAGCTGGAACATTTTCTCAACAACTGTAATTAGGAATTGGAAATACTCAGCCTTCCTTAATTTAAGTAAGTCATCTGTAGTTACAAACCAATCTTGAGTTAAGCCTCAGCGAAAAATATGTATATAAAAACCATACTGCTCCTAATAGGTTTGTGTGTGTGTTTTTTATAGCAAAGCCGCATCGGGCTATCTGCTTGTCCACCGAGGGGAATCAAACCCCTGATTTTAGGGTTGTAAATCTGAACACTTACCGCTATCCCACCAGGGGACGCTCCTAATAGGATAAAATAAGTTATTTTAATATAAATAGAAATAAAAGCGTCATGCTGATCTCCAATTTCCAAGGTAGAAATACTTGGTTCTAATGTTATTCCACGATTTTATTATATGGTCAAAGCCAAAAGCTACGGATTTCTCACTGTCAGATGAAGTTGATAGCCTCATCTCAATCTTACATAATAAAGTTTGAAATAGCAATATACAAGATACTCCAGATCTAGAATTATATGTCTAAATTCTTGTTACAATACAAACTAAATGTCCAGTTCTAACCTTATTTGCATCGCTTATCATAAAGAAAGAGAGAATAAATTTAGGAAATACTCTTTTATTGACCTAAGGTAACGTTTCTTGATAAACATTATTCTCAGGAAACTACTTGGAACCAATGTTAACATCCTTCGTAATGTTTTACTCTGTGCACCGATTCTGAGGTTACAAATCCCCGTAATGTTAATAAGATGGGGGTACCAAAAGAGCTATGAACATGAGTGGATTCTAGTTATTATATTATCCTTAGATATGTATGCGGGTTCAGGGGCTCTTCTACATGAATCGTAACTAATTAATTAGTTAGTGATTATATTATACAACAGTTAAATACTTATCTAGAATAAACACCTCTTCAATCTTATGTTTTCTATTTTACTACTCATTTCCTTAAGTTACAGTAAGCCTTCTCTAATTTCTACTAAAACTGTTGTGTGCTTATCATAATATGGGAAATAGGCTTCTAGTTAAAACTTCCTTCTTTGTTCATGGCTAGGTGGTTAGGGCGCTCGACTCGCAATCTGTGGGTCGCGAGTTCGAATCCCCGTCACATCAAACATTCTCTCCCTTTCAGCCGTGAGGGCATTATAATGTGACGGTCAATCCCATTATTTGTTGGTAAAAGAGTAACCCAAGAGCTTGCAGTAGGTGGCTAGCTGCTAAGTTAGGGACGGCTAGCGCAGATAGCTCTCGTGTTGCTTTGCGCGAAATCCAAAACAAACAAACAAACTTTTTTTTTTTAAATATCCATGTATTGGGTACTAGAGATTATTGATCAAAAACTTTGGCAATTTATTACTTAAAGCCTCATAGTGGCTAAGCGGTAAGTCTGAGGGCTTATATGCTAGAAACTGGATTTCGATATCCGTGGTTGGCACAGCACAGTTAGCCTATTGTGTAGCTTTGTGCTTAACAACAACAATAAAAACATAATATCTATATAAATCTCAGATTTTGTCGTATGCGAGTCGATAAACTTATTCTAAGGAACTTATTTCCAAAATTCTAGCGTAGAAACATATATAAGCTAGTCATAAACACCTTAGGTGTGAAAAAAGGTGCGGCCAAAAAAGGATTTAAGGGAATGAAATCAAAATTGGCTGCCGAGCTGGTAGCTGCACCTATAGCATTGATAAGAACTTTACAACAAATATTCATTCATTAGTTAATCAGGCTGCATTTTTTTTGTTCAACTTGGGGCATAATGGTGTGTAAAACAAAATATGTTATATGAATTTTATCATCCCGTGTCATAAGTGATTAAATGTTGAAAGATGAATAAGAAGTTAATCAAAACGCACTATAAAACAATACACTCTGTTGAACGTTTTAAATAAAACATGGGTGTGTAGAACAGAAAAATGTATATTTATATATATTTACGTATATGTGTATAAAGTACGATACAGAATCTTCTAACAATACACTCTGTTGAACGTTTTAAATAAAACATGGGTGTGTAGAACAAGAAAAATGTATATTTATATATTTACGTATATGTGTATAAAGTACGATACAGAATCTT